AGGAGAAAAGACACTGAAAGGCCACACACTTCCTTTTCTGATTTCAAACAAGAGTTGTTTTTTTTACATACAACTTGCAACTAAATATAAGCATCATGTCTTACCTTTCTGTCAGATGGAGGACAGAGGGTCAGTCTTCATCCGTGTCTCTTCCAGCTGCTGGTGTCTTCCAGCTGAGACACAAATCTGTGGTCTGGCGTCTCTGCTGCTGCTTTCTGTCACCAGGCAGGTCGACCCATCAGACTTTGTGCAGCAGAGGTCCCTCCCCCTGATGGCTCTGCTCTGAAAGTACAGCAGGGAGGCTGTGAGGACAACCCTCACCCACAGGCATGTCTGAGGGTTGGCCTGGAGCTGAAGGTGCTCACTGCAAACTCACATAGATATGGTTATTGTGAAGGAGACAAATGTGCATTTTCTGTGGGAATTCAGAGAGAATGAACACAGAACGACCGCCGAAGATGAAATCGAGTCAAAGCTAAATGGAGCAAAACACAAGCTGAAAAAGAAGCAAAGATTAAAGTGGAAATATATTAGCTAAAAGTAGCAAAAGGCTACCTAAAAGCAGCTAATCTAAAAGTAGCAAAAGGTTAGGTAGATGCTAAAAGCAACATATATCAGTTAAAAGTAGAAAAGCCAAATGTATTAGAAAACTAGAAGCTAATAGCAGTGTCAGCTAACTAAAAAAAAAAAAAACAACTAAAAGCAGCAAGCATTAGCTAAAAGAGACAAAAAAAAAAGCTAGCTCATTGCAGCAAAAGACTAGCTAAAAGAAAAAAGCAACAAAAGGCTATAGCTTAAACAGCAATATATATATATATATATATATATATATATATATAGATAAATACGAAAGTGTGAGCAAAAAAATTAACATATTCAAAATGTTAGCAAAAAGTAACAAAACAGTAGCTAAAAGTTAGAAGTAGCAAAACACTAGTTAGAAGCTAAAAGCTATAGCCAAAAGTAGGCAAAGGCTAACTAAAATCATATTTAAAGGAATTGGAGAATGTTTTTCTACGAGGAAAATATTTGTAAGTTTGAATACTTTGAAAAGCATAAAAAAGTTACACAAACCAAATACTACCTCCCAAAATGTGCTGAATGTTTTGATTTATGAATCACTAACAGCATAAAAATGAGACAAAGCAATCATTAAACAGCTGTTTATTAAATTCATATTTTAAGTGGTTTTACACAGACACATAGATTGGCATGAAATTAAGACCTTTTTAAACAAAAAATTGCAATCGTTCTAATTTTGAAGAGCAGATTAAGATTAAACGTGAAATAATAATTTGCTAAAATATGACATTCTTGTGCAATATTTTGCTGAGAAAGAAAAAAACAACAAAGATGATTGGTTTAGCTGTAGCTTATTCCACGTGAACATTAAAGTATTTAATAAAAATACAACCCCAGAGGTCAGGTTGTGCATTAAACACTGAAACCTACACGTTCTTTACTATCAAACATAAACAAAAGTTATTCACGGGTTTGAAAATGTTGGATCTAATAAGAGACCGGCTCTCATAAACTAAGTCAAATCTCATTTCTACTTCTACATACGTGTCATTAAACATAATTCAGCCGTGTGTTCACAAGTAATTAAAAAAAGGAGGAGCAGCAGAGTGAACTTTGTAATAACAGTTCAATGATAGTAAAAATAAGCTGTAAACGAGGTAAGAGTATGCAGGAAGAAGGGCTAAATCACAAAAAGAAAACCACATCCTAGTTAGTCTCGTGTACGATCCTGTTCATCCAGGTGTTCACAGTTTACTGCTCAAACCAACACAACCAAATAAACAGGTCATGTTTCAAAAGAACAAGGCAGAAAATAATCTGCAGGTACCTGAATGTGCAACAAAATGGAGGTTGAAGCTAGTTGGCCTTTCTCTTACTGATAATAAATCATAGGCCAATTTATTCTAAAGCACGATGATACATTTCAGACTACAGCCACGGTGGGAATGTGTTCTGGACAAACGTTACGCTGCCACTGTGAGGACAGCGAGAGTAAAGACATCAGATTTTATGTTCGAGGCTCAGAACAATCGATAATGCTTCAAATAATCTATAATCTATCCTAAGAGTAAAAAAACATAAATAAAGGAGAACAAACCAAATTAAAAAAAAAAAAAACAGAAATTACGTTTCATGAGTTATGTTTCAAGTTACGCGAGTTTAACTACAATTATATGCAAAACAGTTTAATTTTAGAATTTAGAAAAAAAAAAAAAAAAGAAATTAATGTTTTTTTTAAGTAGTTTGATCTGAATTTGGACAAATATGTAGTCCAGAAGAAATTAAAATAGTTAAAACTGAACTGACTAACAGGACGACACTTGATTTGTATGATGGCTTAGTTTGTGTTTAAACTGATCATATTTGGATTTACATCTAAAATTATAAATGAGCTTGCAGCTTCTGTAATGGGCAGCAGAAGAATACATTTTGATCCATCCTCTCATCGTTCTTCTCTTTGTTCTGAATGGGAGTTTTAAAAAAATGGTTTCAGCAAAGTTGACGTTTCAGCATAATAAATGTAAGTGCATTAAAAGACATGAGTGTAAAGTAAAGTGGTGATTGGAAAAATTACAAGTGAAAAAACAACAACCATCAGTTCCTTCCAAAAGGCACAAAAATGTAAAATACTGCTTCGGACTGTAAGGGTTGCCATGGCAACTCTCTGCTGGACGTGATATACAGGAACATAATGACATAATAATGACTGATGGCTTGTTTTGGTCCGTTTGTTTCATCGTTCCTGTTCTGATGCAGAGGTTGACTCCGACGACAGGATCGCCTCTCGTATCTGCAGAGAAGCTCGCTTTGTCTTCGTTCTAAAGTAGCGCAGCGTCCTCTTCATCAGGCGTCCTCCTCGTCGTCGCTGATGAAGCTGCGTCCGTCCTGACTCGTCTCCCTCTCCTTCAGGAAGGTCTGTCTGATGGCCTCCAGCTCCGTCAGCTCCAGACGCACCTTCTCCAGGTGGAATGAGCGCCGGTTCTGGATCTGCCTCATGGGGAACGGGTTCATGTCAACGAAAGCAATGTTCATCAGCTTCCTGAAAAACAGAGAGCAAGTTTTATTTAAAAGTACGTACTGAACGACAGCTGATAAATTCTCATTTATTTATTTATTCATGATAATGCCAAATTGTAAATATGTCATTTGGTAACATTTTACAGCAACGTTCAGGAGTGGGGTCCCATGAAATGAAACAAGACGCATCATCCTAAAAGGAGGCACCTGACATGATATTACAGCGCCACCTGCAGGTGAACTTTCTCCATTTGTCAACATTTTTAGAAACATTTTTATGTTTCCCCATAAATAAACTAAATTTCTCAAAACGTGAATATAAAGTATTGAGTATAAGTTTATGTATATATATATATATATATATATA